AATATTGATTACAGTGACAAGTCTTTCCTTTAGGTTGAAATGTAGGGGAGACAGGGGCTTGTTGTCACACTTTTTACACTCTTGTATATTTCTTGCAATCAATACATCATATAGAAACAAAATGTGTACCAGATGAAAGACCAAAGTTTCAGGTATATATTTTGCATTCATGTAATTTTCATATCTTGTGTCAGTGCAGAGTTATAAGTAATCAAACAAAGAAACAAATACATTTTTCCGTTTTCTATGGAGACCATTTCCGTCTAAAAGGGTAGGGTAGAGGCCTGACAGAGTGCAATCCACTTCTCCAAGTTGAGAACTGGACACACAACTAATAACGAATGCCTATATATGTATATGTATATATATATATATATATATATATATATACATATATAGATAGATAGATAAAGATAGATAGATAGATAGATAGATAGATAGATAGATAGATAGATAGATATACATACAGTTTATTGATATGGACGGGAACACAGTTTTTTGTCAAACTGGGTATTGTACAGTCTATATTGACATATGTATTAGTATTAATGACTCATTGCTCTTAACACACCTCTGCCTACACTCGCTGTGATTATGGTGGCTACCTGTCCTGTTTTCGGCCATCTCGTACCGCAAGCTATTTTATTGCTTTTCCACTTAAGTTACTCAGCGGCTTCTTTCTAAACATAATTATCACCTATTGGGCGATATTTCTAGCTTTCCTTTTTAATGTTTGATTTCACATCTTACATTAACTAGCCACATCTTTTTTTATCTGTATTTAATGTTGAAAACAAAAGTTTACTTTCAATGACAGAATAATTCACTACTTACCAAAGCTCAGACAGATTGTCATACGGAGAAAATGATTGCAAGATCAGCATGCCAAAATGTAGACACAGCAGGAGAAGCGACAATTATCGTGAGATCAGGGGGGCCAAAATGTAAGCCACGGTGGGCGGGAACGTGATTGGTGAAAAATAAGTCCAAAGTAAGCCCACGGGATGAAGGTGATTGACTGATGTGGGCTTACTTTGACGAACAAGGCAGGATGCTGTAGGCGCAGACAAGAGGTAGCGGGATGGATGCCTGTATTCTCCACAACACTTTGATTTGCTCCCCTACCTCCAAGGGGATGATCAGTGCACACAATTGTACACTGCCACTCTGGTCCTTGCTAAGGAGACAGGTGTTTTCCTTCAGCAGCTGCATGTAAGGTTACAACTTACATGCAGCTGCTAAAGGCATGCAGTTAAGAGTGACCTACTAACCTAATCAGCATGTTGTCTGACTTTGGGAGGTACCAAAGAGAATCCATGCATGAACTGTGAGAACATGCAAACTCCTCATGGAAAGCCCGATCATGGACATTATTTGTAAGACCTTCTTTGAGATGAAACGCCTGTCCAGCATCATCTACTAGGCAGCTGAGACTATTGTGTATATGATACAAACGGTAGGTGAGAATTGAAAAACCATGGGAGTCATTTCCTTTGCATCAGTAGAGGAAGAGAATGAAAAAATCATACATCTCCTGAGCTTATTGTGTTGCTAGGCTATCCTTAAATTACTAGCGAGGTGTTTCTCTAAGCTCTTCTTCTATTACTTCTGCCTGCCTTGCCGCTACCTTCATCCATACCTTCTCATTCACTCATCCATGTTATGTGTTTCCTAACGGGTTATCACACCTATTTTCCTACCCCCAGCCCCCTGGTACCTTCACACCATCATCTCCTTTACCGTTTCTCACCATTCCTCCTGTTTATTTTTTAATCTTTTACCCCCTTATCCTTTTTATTTCTTCTATCTGCAAGAAACATAATTGCTGTGTTGGAATGGAGCTCCCTGTCTTTGATTTCCCTCTGGGCTGTAAAGGTGTAGATATATGTGACAGAATACTAACAATTGTTGTTTGAGGTTCAATGGAAAAATAACAAGGGAATAATACACAGAAAATCCCCCAGCATCTTTGAAAATGCGTCTTTCCTCAGAAGTAGTGTGGTCTTGTTCGGGGAGGTGTACAGTGGTTTACTGCAGGAGTGATTTAAGAATGTCTTAAACCAGTTAATAAACTCATGGAGGATTTGGATTGTAAAACAACATATAATCTTACATCATTTGTTTGAAGTTATTATTGTTACTATTATTTTCTATATCCAGTCTCATGTTGGGATAGGGGTGAAAATATTGCATGAGAATGGTTCCTATTGTCGTACAAATGTGCTGCTCATTTGCATAGAAAGGGACCAGTTAAATGGGTATTGAAGCCTCCTAGACTCCTCCTTTCAGAAGTTGTCTTAGCATGGCCAATTGGGTGGAGAACCTACAGGTAAACGAAGAGCTTACTGGAGAGAGAGTACAGCCTGTTTATCCTGTCAATGCCTTGGGTAGCCAATTCAGAGGCCACAATGGGCTACGGGATTATTTTTACTTTTACAAAGTGACTGTAAGCCTTTCATGACTTTAATATACAATATTATCCATGTTTGATCAAGTTCAGGTGTTCTTTTGGATATAATGAAAGTTTCTGTGGCAAATGTACAAAGTTATGAGTGAAAAAATAATTTATGTGTTTCACTCATTGTATAGTTTACAGTTAGGCAAAACAAATGAAAATCAATATTCCTCAGATATATAATGGAGCAACCTTGGCTGAAAAGTTATACGCTGCAGATATGTCAGTACCTTTGGAGAGCTTTATTTTGTAATAGCAAATGTGGACCATTTTTGCCTGAGTCCTTTATACGTGCTCTCAGGCCAAAGTGTGATCTGAGTATCATACATGAAATGAAGCATTATTCTGTCATGGTACTCCAGCATGAGTTGTATTATTAGGATCTGAAATAGCTGGGCTGCGTCTCAGGTAATATGCTTCTCTGCAATGCATCAAATTCTTTTGATGTGGTGGTCAAAGCCAAATGATTCCATTGCTTTACACTTGAAAAGGGTTGGAAGTGCCTCTCAGGTCATTACAGCTCAAGGCAGCTTTAGTTTGCCTGATGGAGGGAAACAGATATTAGAGCTGATTCTACTTGACCTTTTGTGAATGAAAGGCTTCATAATGTTTCCAGCTTGGTTACTTCATGAACTTCAGAGCTCCTAAACAGTGCAAAATATCACACAATTCATGCCTTGTTTGAAGCATTCAGAAATATAAATACAGACAATATGGTAAGATAGATATTATTTACTGTAGCAGCTGCATATGGATCATGTGTTTTGAGCACAACCCTAAAAGCTAAACTTTAGCTTTAGCATAGTTTGGGAGGGCAAAGGGCAGCCATTACACTCTAAATTACTTCAGCGTGCTCATCTACCTTAGGCAGATGTAAGGCAGCACAATCAAACATGCACAGGCTTCTTCAGGTGCTGTATTCATCAAAGACTGAAGAGCCTGCTCTTCCTTGGCAGTATCCTCTACTGTCACTTAGGTTTATAACAGATCCAGTCTTCATGGTAGGAGTATTTCTGAAGGGCTGAAAATTTCCTCTGATGGTTGAAGCACATTGCCTTTGTTGGAGGAGAATAATTCCATGGCTGTCATTGTTGAGCTGCTGCAGCAGCAATTTTGGAGAAAACAGTCAAAATTGTGTTTTGAGCAATGCTTGTTCAACAGCTCCATGGCCCAGATATAACAGGATTCAAAGATATTTGTGAAATTGACTGAATGTGCTTGTGAGCTCTTCATCCTGTAGTACTTTGGCCTTTTGTAAGCAAGCTTAAACTAAGGCAAAAGGCTCATTCAAATCTAAAGATTAAACATACAACAGAAACTGGATCTTTTTTTTTTTTACTGGAGGGAAATACTTGAACAGCCAACTGTTAGAACCAGCTGAACAATGACTCTTCTTTATTTAGATTTATTTATGTTTGAGTTTTTTGGTTTAAAAATATTTTTTTAACAAGCATTTTTCTGATATTTTGATTCATGTTTTATTTTGAATTGTTTGACTGTTTTAAAAAAAGGACTCAATTTAGACAATTTACTCAATGTTGTCTGACCTTTAGGTAAGTAGATTAGTCAGAATTCAAATTTTCTTTCAAAAAATTAAAAATTGTTTAGGGGGATAATTCTTAAATACAGCTACTTCTTTAAGGAATTACACACTATAAACAACTACATCACCTTGCATTTGGTTGTGGAGAAAAATCCCTTTTTGGTCCTAACACGAGGGACACCTTTAAAAAACTGAAACCTTTTACAGAACTTCACCACTATATGAAACTTTTCACTGTGCTGCCATGAAGGAAATACTGCACAAGCCAAATGAAATCTATGCTCTAATGGAGTGGACATGACCTTACCTATACAATGAATCCTGTGCTTTCAGTTTCTCATAAGACCTTGTCAGGATCTAATGCATTGTACAGTTCTGTACAATATTCTTAGGCTAAAAATATCTACTGTCATTTAAAGCGGAAGGGGTAATTTTACTGTCTAGAATACAGATAAACTGTATAATCCTCTAATGTTTCATGAAGTCAAAAGAAAATGTTAATCTGTGCTTCCTGACTGTAACTTACACTATGCCTTATGGAAAGTTTGACTGAGGAACATCAGTGAAATCTTATCAATCAATATGCAGAATAAATACTTTCTGGCTATGCTTTACAAGTCCTTCTCTTAGTTTAGTTAATCAGTAATAAGGCTTGTGTTTGTAATAGGAAAAATGTAATAGGTATCAGGTATCAAGGTTGAACTGAAAGGTTAGTTCTACTTTCTTCTCAAAAGTTCTTGAGTAATATCCAGATTAATAACTAAGGTAACCAGACTTTCCTTAACTTTTTTTTTTTGCCTTTAATGAGGGATCTTTTTTTTTTTAATTTTTTATTTTTTTAATTAACAACAAAACAGAGTGACAACAACAACAAAAACAACAAAAACACGAAAAGAAAAAAATTACAAAAATACTTTTGTGAGGGAGGGGAGGGGGAAAGAATATATATAATAGAGAATAAAAAAATAAAATAAAATAAAATCTCAGGGGAAAGAGCAAGTGATGGCATTGAAAAAAAAGGATACCTTGTGTGATGCTGTCACCGACGATCAAGGTGGTGGGGGGAAACAGCGGCAGGGGTTGCATGGCTCCTGTACCTGGGGCAGGGCAGGTGGCCGGGCTGCGAGGACTCGGTGGTGCGGGGATGGTCTGCCATTTCGGTCTGGGGCGGCAGTGGCGGGCCCGGCTGAGTTCTGTCGGACTGCCTCTCGGAGAAACCTCTTGCGGGCGGCTGAGGACGCAGTCTGGCTCTCAGAGCGGTGGTCAAGGCGGGTCCCGGGACACTGCCCGCAACCAGGGACCGACGGAGAGGGGTCCCCTCCGCCAGTACCAGGCCACACGGGAATCCCTCCGCACACCGGCAGGGAGGTGTTCTACACGCTAGCGCCCGGTGACGCCCGAGAGCTGGTCGCCAGAAGAGCAGAGGCCACCCGATCCTCTGGCCGGCGCACCACAAAGGCACCGGAGGATGAGGAAGAAGGGCTGGGGGCTCCGCTGGGTGGCCGTGTAGGAGCCATGGAGGGATTGCTGGTGGGCCACATCCATACAAGTTGTTAGTAGAGTGGATTTTGATTTTAGTTACTTGGACAGGTTTTGAATATGGAGTTTAAGTATGGTGATTGTTTTATTTGCCTCATGAAGCACTTCAGTCTTTTCCAGGAGTAGGAATTCGCTCATGCTCGCCCTCTCGCTCTTCTATCCCACAGGCTGACTCAGAAATGAGCAGGGTCATTGATTCCTTATTGATTACTGTGTTAAACATTACATGATCAGCTGGAAGGCCGGATCAGCAGCAGAGCCCTCTACCCACTGAGGAAGAGGCCACTCACAGTGACTGTCATTTGTTTAAGGCAGAACATCAACACTGTGATAATGCTAAACTGTCAATGGTACTATTTATGATTGTCCTTTAAGGACGTTTCTAAAAATCACACCAGCAATAACCAATCTGAGGTGTGATAAAGGCGCACTGTTAAAAACAAGATAGAAAATTGATTTAGGTGACTATTTTGCAGAAATATCCATGCCTGTAATATTTATGTAGCAATCAAGAAAATCTCCAGCCCCGCGCAACCTCCAGTATGATATGTGTTTATGGTAATGGCTGAGTTTCAAGATTTTGCTAAATTCCTCGAACTACTGACCAAGAACTTGAGTGTAAAGAAACTTCAGCACCATACCTGCATTTGCATACAACTGTTCCTCAGTTAATCCTCATATTAAAACAAATAAGAGCAAATATGAACTGCATTTCATTTCATTGTTAAATAACTCCTAGGTCCACTTTAACTAATATCTCAAGATGACATATGCTCATTTCCAGTGACACATTATCCAAGCTAAGCCTCATATTCTTACAGATGCAGTCTATTTGTTCAACAAGCCTCTTGCACAAGGGAGCTGTCTCTTAGGAATGGCTCTTTGTTAATAAGTGCAAACAAGCTCTATCATACAAATGTTTGCTGTTAATGCAAACTTAGTGCTTTCTCAGGAGCCCTGCAGGATAACTATAGTACCTGTCTGGGTAAACTTTCCTGTGAAATGAGCACAAACAGTGAAGACAGCAACATAAAGAACTCTGAGGAGTGAACGGCAGTGTGTGTAACTTTTGACAGAGAACGTTTTTCTAGAATAAATAGGGGAAAACATAACAAAAACAACTGAACACAGAAATCTACACATTTTCTTTGTAGCCACAGACCAAAACAGTTTTACCCTTGTCTACAATTAACAAGGGATTCAAAGGGAAATCCCTCAATGTAAAACCAGGGAAGTCAATACAGTTTAGCAATTACCCAGATTTTTCTTTTTGCAATAATTATAAAATAAATAACCCACAACTAGCAACCACTATATCAATTATTAAATCCATTGATGCAGCAGTGATGAGATGTAACAGATAACCCTAGTGATAAAAAGCTGAAAAATTATGTAGCCTTGTGTCTTCTCAAGAGTACTTTAGAGGTGAGCCTCACTGCACAAACACTGTGAACTGTTTACAGTGTTGGCCACATCACCATCAGTATTTTTTTTTATAATAGTCACCTACAATCAGAAAGTTTATTATTAGTGTCACTAATGACTAGGTACTATCCCTGTTGTAGCCAATATGAAGCTTTTTATTGTAATGCCTGTTATTGTGGTCTTACCACGACAACCTGGGCATAGGAGGGTTCCAGCCAATGGTAGGTCACGTGAAGTTTACTTCAAGGTGTCACTGGGGCACAGGTGTCAGGGGTTGGTAGTCAGGCAGAAGCCACACAGTTTTTTTAACCGTGCAGGCAGTTGTTTTTGAGTTTATTTTGGTGTATTTTCCTGCCGCAAGTTGGTTGTTTAGTTTATAGTTAACACCCAGCTTTGTTTACGCTCCATATCACGCTGCTGCATCTTCAAAATAAATGTTTTAAATGCACTGAAGACCTGGACTGTCAACTGCTGCACGCGTTGGAAACTTGGGCTCTACGCCATCCCTCACTGGCAAGTTTTGTGGTTCCGATTGCCTTTACAATCCCTAAAACCCATAAGATGTGCCTGCACAGCACTCGGTCAGGGCCATGCACTCTGGAGCTGATACGTGCCTGTTTTTTATTCCACAGGGAGCGCTGTGCTGAATCTTAGCTCTGTCTCAGAAGAATCATTGTCTCGAACAGAGATAACCCACGGATCGTATTTACAAGGAATTCTCATTGATGATGGCTTTATTGTTAACACAAAACATCCTCCTGGCCTATCCCTGATCCGTGTTGCCCACAACAGGACTTTGAGCCACTAACTCTGTCAGCAGTGAGTTCTGTTGTTTTCTACATACTGAGTCCAGCATCTCAGTGCTGCACTTCAGACACTCTCTCAGTGGGCCAGGGCACACACCCTCAGATGGTGCAATACTAGAAGACGGTGCATACACATCTTCTGGGTTTTCAGGGTTACATGCCAACTAGAAAAGCAATGGCAGCCTTTTCATGTTGCACAGTCATGGTGCAGTGTACAGATGTAACACCTTGTTTGAGCCTACCTCTTATAATGCATTATTTATAAAGCTTTATAAGGCTCCATAACAGCCCTTTTAAAGAGATTATAAACATAGTAGATATATTAAAATCTTTCCCAGTCCCAGAAGAAGAATTTAACAGCCATCTAAGCATGTGTGCATGTGTGTTTTCAGTAAGTATCCACCATCCCCTGAAACCATACATAACACCCTATCTACATTTATTCTTAACAGCTCCAATAAACCTCTCCTGAAAAACAACATAATGTACCGCTGGAGGTGCTTTTTAGGAACAATTATCTACTCAAATTCAAAGAGGGTACATTTAGAAATTAGAGGGAAAGGGAAACTGCACATACAGGCAATATGATGCCACTGCAAAAATATTGGAGGAAAAGGAGGGCACTGAAAACATAATCATAACACACCTAAATTAGCAGAATCTGAGATATCAGATTGCTCAACACTGAAGTGAGTATAAATAGCATGAGTATGGTGTTGGTGACACCTTTAGCAGGACGCAGCAATGTTTATTTACAGAAGAAAAAAATCATATTATGTAATATTTGTACATGTAAATCTGTGTTTCAAGGTCTCTCCACACAGGAGGGCATATTTAGGTCTGAAAAATGTACAATGTCAATGTTTTCACTGGGTTTAATGGGTAAACAACAGCATCTGCACTTCATGGAGTTCCATTGGGGAGACATTCAGATTGGTGACGCATCTAAAAACGCCAGCAGCTTTTTGCCTTCTCCCTCATTAAATCTGCTGTGCAGAGTCATGTTATGTCAACTCCAGCCATCCAACCACCCACACACACACACACACACACACACACACACACACACACACACACACACACAAACACACATACATCAATTCAACAGGAAAGCATACACACACAAACACTCAGAGCACCCGTGGGTGGCCAGTTAGCATGTTTGGTTGTACTTGCGGTGGTTGAGGGCTGCTTTGCCCAAAGGCCTACAAATAGAAAGCAGCTACTCTGCGCGTGTGTGTGTGTGTGTGTGTGTGTGTGTGTGTGTGTGTGTGTGTGTGTGTGTGTGTGTGTGTGTGCAGTGTCTCTGTTGCAACCCAAAACAAAAGTCTTGGAGCTAAAATTGGGGCTCGAGTTTTATTAGTTTGTTACGTGATGCAACAAATTTTGTGCCAGTGAAAATCTTGCTACAAGTGTTTGATTGAGGAATGCAGTGGAAACAACAAGATCAATAGACCACAACAGATCGTTTTCTGGAGATGTGGCAAATAATTTTCCTAACTACAGAGCTGTTACCAGGGTAACTTGCCCCTTCTTTTGCAAAACTTGCTTCAAAAGCATTTCAGAATTATCAGTTATTATCCAAGAACAGTTACAGTGGCTCCAGATGTTTGGTGACAGTGTCAGAGATAATGTAAGAAGTATTTGTGCTGTTTACAGGAACAGCCCAATAATGATAATAATGGACTCATTATCAGTGTAATCAAAGTGAACAGAGCAGTAATATAATTTGTATTAATGAAACTGGGGAAAGTAATGGGGATGGAATTGAAACAATTAAAGCAGAAAGAGTCAAAAAGTTCTGCAATTAACATTAGCTTTATTACAGTATTAAAACTGGAGAGACGGATTCATGTAGTTGAAGCACCTTTAAAGCAGTCAGGTCCACAGCAGCAGGACATCTGCAGCAGTGATCCAGAGGAACATACAGGATGATGGAGCTCACGGACTCCCAGAAAAGACTTTATTCGTGATTTTAGAAGGACATGACAATTCAAAGTTTATGAAAGAAAAAGGATCGAGAAGGAGGGAAAACAACCAGTACCACTGGCAGTCTAAACCTATAGTTGCATAAATAAGAGCTGGCCCATACCTTAACCAGATCTAACGACAAGCTTTATCAAAGAGGAACATTTTAAGATGACTCTTAAGAGAGAGAGAGAGAGAGAGGGTGTCTGAAACCTTGACCTGGGGCATCATGTATCAACACTTGCGGCGCAAGAAAACCTTGCGTATGCCAAAATCGGCGCACACGTCCAGATTTATCATCGCGAAACGAGCGTCGGTTCCAGCGCTAATCAACGCAAAGTCAGGAGGTGGTGTAGAAATTGGCGTTGAGCCGATACTTGCGTTGACTGTGATTCGCACTTTGGCGACGCTGTGTGGCGGTGTTTGGTGACTCACTATGTGACAAGCGTGCACCACATCCCCGTGGCCGAGCAGCACGTCGCCCCACATGACGAACCAGCAGCAGACGGAGGGATGCGAGCTGATCCCTGCCGGGCCGCCGTCCTCGCGCGGGAGAATCTCATCGCCACAGTGTGAATGGGTAAGAAGTGAATACACAGTTCAATGAGCCAAATGAATTTATTTTCTCCACTAGACGCTCGAGGACATTTAC